GAGGCACAAAAATAAGTGGGTTGATTTAATTGGAACATACTGCAGTATGACCTTTCCTCTCCCGAGTGCTCAGAAACCAAGAAACTGGCTTAAAAATCACGAGGATTATTTTTTTATTGTATAGTAGGCACATGAATTTAATTTTCTAGAAGGTGGGGGGGGGAAAGGAGTGTTGAAGGGTCTTGTTTTTAAACATTTTCTCCCCCTTCATCTCCCTGGGATCATTTTTTATTTGTCTCAAAAGAAAGATGACATTTTTGCATAGTGTTGTGGTCCACAGAAGTAGGGGTCTTTAGAAAAACCACGTTCTGTCAGAAGGCTTAGCGACACAGCTTTTAGTGCATTGCGTTTCAGACCCCTCGGTGCAGCAGCAGTCGGTGAAATCCCTAAAAGGCAAACTCGGTTATCATGGAGGGCAGACGGGCTGTCCCGCCGAGCACTCGCTGGTCCCACTTTGCAGCCTGCTGTCAGGAAGCCTGGGATCAGGGTCGGAGGCTGGAAGGTGCTGCCAGAAGCTGCTATCCTGGTTCCTGCTTGCTGGCAATGAGGGCAGAGCCGGGGCGAAGCCTGGCACGCTGCAGAGGAGCAGCTGCTTGGGGACCGGAGCTGCGGCACGCGGAGCTGGCATCGGGCTGCCAAGCTGGGTTTGCGCGGTGCCGGGGTTAGGGCAGACGGATTTGGTCCGCGGCTGTCATCCCGGCGGGCAGCTGGGGGGGAGAGGCAGAGGCGGCTGGGGTGAAACGAGGACGGCTGGAGATCCTGCCAAGAGCCGCCTGAGTGACAGCGAGACGCACAGCGCGGCCGGGGCACGGCAGTGGGATGGGGATGTATTTCAGGGCGGGGAGAGAGACGGAGGGACCAGCTGGGCTGTGGGTCTCGGTCCACCTTGGTGGCCTACTTGGGAAGAGGGTGCCTCCAAGCAGCGGTGCACCCTGTGGCCCCTGCCCTGCTGGATCCCAGACCAGTCCAACCTTAGTCTGGGGACTGCTCTCCCCCCGCAGAAGCATTGCTTTCTTCTGCTACGCCCTCCCAGCGTGTTTCTGCAGCCTCCCTGACATGTGTTTCGTGTTAGCCCACCCAACAATCACGAGCTGGCTGGAAAGTATGTTATCAAGTTCAGAGAGGGCATTTCATTTCCCAGTTAGATCTGGATCTTTAAACATCTAAGCTCACCTCATTTTGAGGATGGGAACAGAAGAAAATATCTCTTGTTACGTTTGGAGAACACAATCAATGTCATTTGGCTTCACAAACCGACTTTAACAGAGAACATGCAAACTCAAAGGGTTCAAGGGGGTCAAAATCCAAGGTAATGTCCTGCACCGTAAGACTGCTGCTGGTGCAGAGGTGTCTTGAAACACACCATCCTTGAGGATGCATTTTCTGCTTGGAAATGAAACTGGGAAGTGAAACTAGGTTCATCATCAGCATAGTGGTGGAAGGCTTCCTGCAGGCATTATCTTACATGGCATAGAGACTGCTTACCCATATCAGCTCTGCATGTGACCATAGGATATCTGAGACTGGAAACATGCAGCACATTTTGCTGCAAAATGTGAGTGCTGTAGCACTCTGCATGCTGCAAACCTCAGCTCTGGGTCACCATCACCAAAAGATTCGCTGCTGCATTGCCTCGGGGCTCCTCTCAGGTTGTGTCCTGAGCAAGAGGATGGAGTGGATTCCCATCTCCAGTGCTCCTGATGGACATTGAGAAGTGAGACGACTCTTGTCATGCCCATATGAGAAATAAATGTGTCCACCACGTTTCTCCAGTCTTCAGGCTGCGTGGGAGATGGATGGAGAGCACCAGCAGTGGAGCTCATGGTGCTTGCAGGAGTGGCCACTCTTTCAAGCTGATGCAGGCAGTGAGGATTGTAATGCCTTTGCCGTTAAAGGTCAACATGGAAATTCCCACTCTTGGCACGTTCCCCATGATGATCTTCAGCCAGTGACTTCTTGCACATTGAGCCAGTGTGGCCGAGGCAGAAAACACATTTCAACATGTTTTTACATTTTAAGCTCCCATCCCACACTTAGTCACTCTCATAGCGAAGGGCTTTTTCTTTATCCCCTGCAATAAATGAAACCACTTGCTTTAAGATGCTGTTTCTTAAATTTTCCAGTGGCAGTGGTTTAACAGGATGCATTATTTGGAGATGGCTGTTGCCCTTCCCCGGGACAGTCATTCCATGCTCCATCCCCAGCCTGCCAGGGACTGAAAAGGATGTGCAGTCTTCCCAGCCTCCTATACTGGCCTGGCACTGACGGCTTTAAAAACTGAACCATTTTACGGTCCAGAGACAGATTCCCAATGGATTTGCATCTTGTGCTGGGCTCTGTGGTGTCCTAGGAGGACTGAGCCAAGGCTGACGATGCAGGGGCTCTGCCCCTCTGCCGAAGAGCAGGGGGTGGCTCCCATCCAGGTCAGGACCGTGGGGTGGTGTGAATGTAATTGGCTTGCTTCTCTTGGCCCTCGCAGCTCAAATTCAAGCATGAGCACATTTGCTAAATGCCATATACACAGAGCCCCCGTGCCAGCTTCTTTGGATTCCTTGATATAGTGCCTGTTTAAGAAAACCATGATTTATAACTCTCATTCAAAACCAGAGCTTTGTAGGGAAGGGGCAAACCAAACCTGCCTCTACGGGTGTATCTGGGGAAAGGGCAAGGCTGTCGTCATGAAGGCAAACAGAGGGAGGGATTTTTAATCTCCATCAGATGTAGGCAGGGAAGGAGGTCACCTCTAGAGCTCTTGTAAACATAACCTCCTCTGTCTAGTAATGTTTGAGTTTGCAGGCTGGATCCAAAGCAAACGGTGGGAGTGCAAAAGAGGCTGTAGGAGGGCAACTTGTGGTGTGCTGAGACATATGAGATGCCTAGTAAAACAGAAGGTGTTCCCATGGCTTTTGATGAGGGATATAGCATGATAACGCACAGCCTCTGTGGTAATCTTGGAGCAATGGGAGAGGCAGGGAGATCAGTGGTTTTGTGTCAATGAAAGCAGAGTGTATATAATTTATCTTGTCTGAGGCGCTTGAGGCTGTTTCCAGTGGGAAAGCTCAGCTGTAATTAGGTTGCTGATGAGTCTCGCATACAAACCCTTCAGCTCTATAAACTATGCCTTCAAAGGCATCCCTTCTCCTCGGGACTGACCAAGGAGGAATTGGAGCAGTGTTTCCAGCGAGCTGATGGATGCCTTTCTGAAACCAGATGCTTGGCAGCCAGCCACTCCACTTATCGTCTCTGAAAGCCTTTAAGCCTGTTGACTTTCTCAGCCTGTTACTAAACCCCATAGCTGCAAGTGGATGCTTCGGTAGAGAACCCTTACTGGATCCGTTTCTTCATCCATCTCTGCTGTGAGCTGCCCCGAGCTACTCCCTGGGGGAGGTTCAGCTGGTCCCAGAAACCTTCATGGTATTGACTGGCACTGGGACACAGAAGATGGTGCTTGTTGATTTAATTTTTTTTAAAGGAGTTTTGAGGTTAATGTGAGTACTTCTTAAGTAAAGCTGTTAGGAAAGCAGGGTAGGAAAGACGTTATGAAACAGTGGACGTTCTAAGTTTTCTGCTGCTAAACCCTGGGTTCAAAATCATCAAGGAAGCACTGCTCCATTCCCATCTTCAGTTCTCTTGATGTAGACAGAGAAAGAAGAGGTTCATTCGTACGAAACACCAACCATCCCAGGAAACACGGAAGCCCTTGCAGGAGCCCCGTCTTTTACATAATTTTGAGGGCCCAGCAGTAATACTGATCTCCAGAGCTCAGGGTCCACAGTGAGCAGGGAAGTGTGGAGGAGGAGAAAATTTCTGGTGGAAGTCGCCTCCCGAGCTGCCCTGTTCTCTCTGTGGTCACCATCACCACTGGTACGTCCCAAAGGCAGTCTGTGCCCCTGTCTCAGCCACCCGATCCCACTGAGGAACGGAGAGGTCCCCATTTGCCCTGAGCAACTATAGAGGGAAACTGGAGAAGCTGTGAGCAGGTATTTTTTGCTGCTGAATCATAGAATCATTAAGGTTGGAAAAGATCTCTAAGATCATCATGTCCAACCATCCACCCAACACCACCATGCCTGCTAAACCATGTCCCGAAGTGCCACATATACACGTTTTTTGAACCCTTCCAGGGATGAGGACTCAACCATCTCCCTGGGCAGCCTGTCCCAATGCCTGACCACTCTGTCAGTAAAGAAATTTTTCCTGATATCCAATCTAAACCTTCCCTGACTCAACTTGAGGCCATTGCCTCTTGTCCTATCGCTAGTTACTTGGGAGAAGAGACCAACACCCGCCTCACTACAACTTCCTTTCAGGTAGCTGTAGAAGTGTGGAGACCAACACCCGCCTCACTACAACTTCCTTTCAGGTAGTTGTAGAGAGCAATAAGGTCCTCCCTCAGCCTCCTCTTCTCCAGACTAAACAGCCATAGTTCCCTCAGGTGCTCCTTGTAAGACTTGTTCTTTAGACCCTTCACCAGCCTCGTTGCTCTTCTCTGGACACGCTCCAGCACCTCCATGTCCTTCTTGTAGTGAGGGGCCCAGAACTGAACACAGTACTTGAGGTGTGGCCTCACCAGTGCTGAGTACAGGGGCATGATAAGCTCCCTCCTTCTGCTGGCCACACTATTCCTGACACAACCCAGGATGCCATTGGCCTTCTTGGCCACCTGGGCACACTGCTGGCTCATGTTCAACCGGCTGTCAACCGACACCCCAAGATCTTTTTCCACCAGGCAGCTTTCCAGCCTCTCTTCCCCAAGCCTGTAGCATTGCATGGGGTTGTTGTGACCAAAGTCCAGGACCCAGCACTTGGCCTTGTTGGAACTTGTAAATGTAGACAACAATTTGATATCTAGGTGTATCCCATCTCCATCTGTTTCATGCTCTGCCAGGTAAGGTCTCTCTGGCAGCTTTTCCTGTGGGTCCCTCCTCTGCAGGGACAGTTATGGTGCCCGGTGCTGGCCCAGGATCCTGCTGATGCCTCCCCGCTGCTCTCACCTTCAGGCCACGGAGAGTGTCACTGTGGGGAGTGCAAGTGCCATGCCGGTTACATCGGGGACAACTGCAACTGCTCCACCAAGACGGACAGCTGTGTTTCCAGCGACGGGCAGATGTGCAGCGGCAGGGGCACCTGCGTCTGTGGGAAGTGTCAGTGCACCGAGCCGGGGGCTTTTGGAGAGACGTGTGAGAAGTGTCCCACCTGCCCAGGCGTCTGTAGCACTAAAAGGTACTCATGGGAGGGTTCGGGAGGGAATTCTCACTGGTGGGAAGGGCAGCTTTTTGGTTCCTGGGAGACTTATCAGCCAAAGATTTACTCCTGCTTCGTTAAACAGGGGTGATAAACCCCAGGCAAGCTTACCAATGCTCGGAGCCCATGCTAAGCAACCCAAGAGTTCCCCAGGTCGACAAGCAGCAAGCATTGCTGCCCAAGTGCTTGTGGAGGTTACATCCCCGTTCATTTCCAGTGCTGTCCTGCTCTGCAGGAAAGGATGGCAACACCAGTTTTGCTGCGCCCTGAGCTGCAAACATCAGAGAGCTGCAGAGGAGGGGATGGCTGCCTGCCTTGCAGTGATGGAGGTGCCCTGGGCATCAGCCTCAGACAGGCACAGAGAAGCAATGCTGCCTGTCTTGATCTCAGGCAGGATGGATTTTGCAGTAGCTGACGTGCAGCTCCCGAAATCCAAAGGGCAAACAATCCCCAAACCTACCAGCTGTTCTGCACCTTCACTGAATCCGCCCCTCAGAATAAATCCATCCTTGAGATGGAGACGCTTGGCCCTGAGTTCTCTCTTTCCTTGTGGTGCAGATGTGCAGCCTCCAGACCAACACCCAGGGAGTCCCTTTCCAAGGGGTGAATCTCTGCGTTCATGCAGTTTCTGATGGGTGCTTAATTTTCCCCTCCATGTGTCTTTCTGCAGGGACTGCATTGAATGCAAGCTGTTTAACTCAGGAAGACTGGCTGATAACCAAACCTGCCAAAAGCACTGCAAGGACGAGATCATCACCACTGTGGATGTTCTCGGTAAGTAGGCAGCAGCAGGACTGCAGACGGTGGGAGCCAGCAACTGTGGTGTTGAACTCCCCTTAACCAGACCAAGACATATCTGTAAAGAAAGCCTAGGGAACACCTGGTATTTAGAAATGTATGTGTGTGTATGTGTATGTAGTATGTATATGTGCATATGGGGTATATGTGACCCTCTCTCCAGGCTGTGATCTGTATTGAAGTAAAAAACCCTTTGATTTTAAATAACATCTTAAAATCAAGATGTGTGAAGACCACACTACTGCCAGTGGAAGGAGCAAAGAGAGCAGGATGAGATCAGATGAGACAGAATGTTAGATGAGCCATGAGAGAGTGCAAAAGGACAAAGTGTCACCCAAAATGGCATGCTCTTATCAGCAAAGAATTCATCTTGGATGAAGTGAGCTTGCAAGAGAAAGCAAAGCTGTTTTGAAGATGATGAGTTCTGCTTTGGTGGAATGGAATGCTCCTCTCCTGCCCTTTATGTCCTCTTCTAGAGGTCACCCCGCATGTGCATCCCTCAACAGATTGCTTTCTCCCCCATCTTTTCAACCTTCATTCTGGGAGTCACTGGTTGCTATTTGTGGGGGTAGAGGAGACCCAAAGTGTGACAGCTTTAGTCACAATCCTGACCCTGGCTTTAGCGATACTCCTTGGAGGGAGGGACGGGGATCAAGCAGGGATAAATTACTATCCACATCTGACATTTCCTCCATGTCTTCCCGTAGTTTATAGAGGTAGGAGTGTTCTACCTTGCTCGCCCTTTCTTTCCCTTCCTCCTGAGCTGCCTGCAAGCGATGTTTTTCCCATTGACTCCTCTCGTATCCAGTGTCTAGCTTTTAAATTACAACCAGCAGGGTTTCCTACCTTTCCCTTTGGGACACTTGCTCTCATTCTTGCCGTCCTCCCTGCAGTTTACCAGGGAGTGCACCTGCACCAGCACACTGCGAGAGGTTACAAGGCACTTCCAAACCACCCGAAGCTGATGCCTGGCTGGCCTGTGTTTCTTAGGAGCCAGCAAATAATTGGGGTTAAAGCCCAACTCTTCTGCCTGGGTGTTGCACCATGCCAAAGCCAGCTTTTGTGCTGGCTGCGCCCTGAGAGGTGCGACTGGGCTGTGGTCTGCCAACCCCCCCATGGCTTTCAGACAAAAACACAGCCAAATTTTTGTTTTAAGACATTTTGGAGGATTATGCTTAGTCTTCTGTTGAACTACTGCAGTCAGATTGCGGGTGGTGCTCAACTCTTGGGAGCTCAGGGCAAGCTCCAACTTGGAGATCTGGGCTACTAGAAAAAGAGGTAAAGCAAAATATTCCTAGAGAAAGTGCGTTGGAACTGCAGACTTCTTTAGAGGCAGACTCGGCCAAATCCTGATGTTCAAGTGCTTTTGTGTTATGTAGCACATGTTAAAAGTCCCTGCTGAGAGACCGAACACTGGTATTTGTCACAGAAGACACAGGTCTGCATTGTTCTGGCGGTGGAGGATGGGACCTTCTTAAGTATCGAGTTGCAGTCAGCACACCCTGGAAGATCCCATGTGCCTTTTGGCTCTGAGTATGAAGAAGCCAGTGCTTCAAAGCTTCGTGGAGCAGAGGCATCTATCATTGACTGACAAGCCAGAACGACGCCTTTTGGGAGGCTTATTTGACTTGTATTGGATTCTGCAGGATCGCCTTCACTTCTGCAATATTACATTTCCATTCCTGATGGTTCCAGAGAGGGGCTTTCAACAAGAGAGGAGCATGACATGTCCAGTGCTGAGCTGAATCTGCCAACAGCACACACCAGTGGACCTGAAAGCTCAATGGGGCCTTCATGCCTCTCTCTGTCGATGTGTGATCTCTGAAACCTTGTGAAGACCAACAGAGATCATCACTATCAAGACTTTAATCACGGTCTCTTTTAGTAGAATAATGGTGCAAGGATGGGATTGAAAGCAACTGGGCCTGGAGGAACTAAGGTTTCCTGCTCAACTCAGAAGGGCATTAGTCAAGAAACATGGAAGTTTTATCAATACTAATCTAATTAGTACTTTGCTTTGTAACAATCAGCACTTCTTCAGACCTGCCTTTGATACCACTGTGTGGGTAGAGCATGCTTTCCTGTCCCAAGGTAGGAACAGCTGAGGTTTGTCCACCCCAGGAACCTCTTCAGGACTCACCAGAGGGGCAGTTGCATCGGGGCTCTGGGCTGTTGAAATGGAGGGTATTAATCTTTCGACTGAAAGCAGGTCAAAGGCATTGAAAGGAAAAACAAACAGACAGGAGAGAGATAAGGGGCTGGAATAGCAGTGGTCATTAACGTGATCATTTTTCAGTGTGACAGATGGGCACGGATACAAGTGAGGAGGAGAGCTGTGGGAAGCGTTTTCCAGGTGCCTTACCCAAGGTCACGTCTTTGCCAGCCAGTAGCACTCTCTACGAGCTGTGGACATGCAGGGCCGTGGCTCTGCTGAAATCACCCCTGAAGCTAGAGCTGCAAACCTCAGACGATGGCTTCGATGAAACTTTGTGATGATTTTAGTGAAGCAGCCTTCCTCAGGAAGCATCTTACAGTGACCAGAGCAGCGACAGGCTCTGCCTGGTGCTATGGTGTGTTAAACAGGCGAACAGAGAGCATCCATATGGCCATGGGAACCAAGTAGTCTCATTACTTGCAACTCCCCCATCTCCACTTCCTCCCCTCCAAACAGCTCCTCCCTTCCCTCTCCCTCCCTCGTCCTCTCCCCATTTTCCTCTTCTGTCTCACTCTTTAAAAACAAACTTCTCGGCCTTTTCCGGAGCTGGAGCCGTTCAGCACAGCTGGAGCACGAGCCAGCCACGGGCTGCTGCTGCTGCTGGCCCCATCCGTGTCCTCGCAGGCTGAGGCTGTGCCCCTCGCTTTCTCTTCAGCTTCCACTCTTCAAGAAATTTAGCAAATGAAGAAGAAAATGGCATTTATTGCCAAAGCAGACTTGTGGGAAGGAAGAGTGTGTGTATTTGTGAGATTGCATCCGTTTGCCGTGCAGTGTTTGCGGAGTGCCGCATTTTCTCCAGCAGTAAGTCTGGATGCTGCTCAGTTACAATTAGCACCAATCGTGATCAAACTGTGCTGCTTTCCAGGCTCCCTCTCCGTTCCCCTGCTCCCAGGCGCCCGTGGGAAGCCCTGCTCAGCTTGCAGGGGACAACTGGGCGAATTCCTAATATTAAACCTGCCAGCTAAGTCAACCACGTGCCATATTGCAGCTTTAGACATAGCCCGTTATGGGTGACTGGGTCAAAAATCAGGGGAACCCACACCATCGCAAGTTGTTAGGGGGAAATTAGCTTAAAAAGAAGAGGTGTGTGGGAAGCATTTGTGTAAGTAATTAGGATACAAGAGTTCTGCGGAAAACAAAAAAAGACTCTGTGACTCTGCCTCTCATTCCAGAAACGGATGACCCAAACGCGATCCTCTGCGCCTACCCAGTGAACAACTGCGTCATGAAGTTCACCTACTCGGAGCTTGCCAGTGGGAAATCCAACCTCACCGTCCTCAAAGAGCCAGGTTGGCCATCCCTCGAGTTTCCTTTTAATAGCACAGACTCCTCGCTAGAAGTGACAGGCTGCGGGTGAGCGTGGTGGGTTGTGGAAAGGCTGGTTTCACTGGCTGCTCGAAAGCATGTGCAAACAGCTGAACCAGGATGATTTAAAAATACAGAGTGTTTTACAGTGCTGAAACCCAGCTCCAAATGCTCCCAATTCAGTGAAGTAGGACTCTGGGAGTGAAACATGCAGCTGAGCCTCCAGCATTGCTAACAAGCGGCTGAAGGGCTTTCTGCCAGCTTGGGATGCTGAAATGAAACCTAGCCTATTTATGTAGCAAAAAGCCATGTACTGATTTGGAGATACAGCCGCTGGGAGCAAAAAAATCAGAAGGGGAGAGCTGCTGCTGCTGCTGGTTAAGTCAGGAAGTTAGGAAAGCCCCACACCACCTATGGATTTCTGCATTTCCGAAGAGCTAGCTCTGGTCCAGGCAGTGTAAGGGCTGTGTGTCCCTGCTCCACTCCCCAGGCTGCCACAGACAGCTGTGCTTCCCAGCATTATTTTAATCACCTGCAATGCAATTTCTCAAAGGGAACTCCATGTGGTGTTGCAGGATGAGCTGGCGAGCGCCCAGCAGTAGCTTCTCGGGATCTGCTCTGGTCCTCCAAGGCACAGGCCAGTATGGGAAAGACTGAGATACCACATGTATTATTTTGTTTCTGCGGCAGCGTGCACTTAATTGAAAGTCCAGTTGATTAGCTGACAGTTAATGTACTTATTTAAAGTGCCTGGTGATCACCTGCTTCCATGTGGGCCAGAAGCCGAGCTGACTTGCCAGAGGCAAACCGTGACATCCTGGCTCCGGTGACGTCCATGAGAGCTGTGCCTTTGACCTGCCTCTAGCCACGAATTTATTGAATTAAAAAAAAAAAATCCCTTTGGTTTCAGAGAGGACTCTTGCTTTTTTTAGTTTAGTCACTGCTGCTAGCACTGCCCTGAGGTCACCCACTCAGTGGCTGCAGTCCAGGTCATTACATCTCAGGATCCTAATCCAGGATACACTCGCACCAGAGCTAATTTCCTTCTTCCCCTCATTACCAGCATGCAGCTCAGCACCCAGTGCTGTGACCATCGTGCTGGCGGTGATCGGCAGCGTGGTGCTGATTGGCATCATCCTGCTGGGACTCTGGAAGCTGCTTGTCACCATTCATGACAGAAGGGAGTTCGACCGATTCCAGAGCGAACGCTCCCGGGCCAGATACGAAATGGTGAGCCCAGGGTGGGGATGCTGCTGGCCTACTGGGGGGCTGTCAGGATGCAAACAGCTCTGCAGTGACGGAGAAGGGCGGCAGGCACAAGGGATGGGGGTGCCCATGCTCTGCAGTGCCTTGCAGCTGGGCTTCAAGGACCAGTACGTTGTACAGCCCTTCCTCTTGGCAGATTACAGATATTCTGCAAAATTATGCCCATCATGTATTTCCCATGAGTGCTGGAGGGCTGAAGGAGGTGGGGGAGTGGGGACCAAGCAGGTCTATGAGGGAGCCCTTCTGAGAGGCTTTAGGTGGGGTTGCCCAGCACTTGAGGGCATCACCTGTGCCTGCAGACAGGTCTGGCGGACAAACTATGGACTGCTTTTGGATCTGAGTGCACATTTCAGTCAAAGCCAAATGCAGCGCTATCTCCAGATTTAGTGGTGCAGGAAGGGGGGATTATGCACCTTTTCACTATGACATTGATTTTGTTCCTCACCTTTGTTCTTTTTGTCTGCTCTTTTCTCCAAAGGCATCCAATCCTCTCTACCGAAAGCCTATTTCCACACATAACGTAGAGTTCACGTTCAACAAGCTCAACAAGTCTTACAATGGTACAGTTGACTGATGGGGTCTCAGCGCTTGGGACCACTGTGGACAATTGCTTGACTGTATGTGCTGCTTCCCCACTTGAAGATGGGATCCTCTTCAGGGGCGAGAATCCCTTACGACAGGACTGGTCAATGACCAAAGCCTGTTATTTGCACAGTAAGGAGAAAAGTCTGGTTCATTCCAGAGGCACAAACACGAAGGCAGGCTCCCCGCCTGTGCTGATGGACTCCGAGCCATGTGAGATGCCATACCCCAGCTTTCTGGATGTATCAAACCTGCCAACAAAGTCAACCAAGTGCCATATTGCAGCTTTAGACATATCCCATTAGGAAGGGTGACTAGGTCAAAAATCAGGGGAACCTGTGCCATTGCAAGTTGTTAGAGGGGAATTAGCTTAAAAAGAAGAGGGTGTTTGAAGCATTTGTGTAAGAAATTAGGATACAAGACGTCTGCAGTCTTTAGGAATTTTTTTTATATAAAAAAACCAAAATAAAACTATTGTGCATATATGATGCTGTGAGTAGATTTCATTGTTTGCTTGTTGAGTCCCCCACCAAGAGACCGAACGGGGGCTTGCTCCTGCAAGTGCAAACAGTACTGCCTGATTGATTTATTAATAGAGCCTTATCAGTCAAAGTATGGCTATAAAAATAGGAGCTGGAGCCGCAGTGACTGCCGCAGAAGATATGTTGATTTAATACCCTGATGTTGACCCAGGGCGGGGAGTGCCACGAGGAGCTCCCCCTCCGTGCGGGTGGTGTTAAACAGATGGGAAACTGGTGGGAGCCTGAGGGAAATGGGAGTTTATTCTGAGGAAACTAAATTAAACAGCCATTCCTTGGGGTGTGTGAGCAGGCGTCCGGCCTGGGTGCCTGCAGGAGGGAGCACGCAGCAGCTCACCCAGACCGCTGACGTTTTACCAGAGATGTGGGGTCCAGCGGGGCCCGGCTGGAAACGCAGCAGAGCCCTGAGCTTTTGGCTGGAAAGGCAGCTGGATAAAACCCAGTGTTGTTGCTTCACAGTGTAGATTTTTGCTTTGTTTTTGGGGGGTTTTTTTCCCCTCAAACTGTTGCCCCAGCCCCATCTGTTTTGCTCTGGAGCTGGGGTTTGGGTTACCCCGGCTGACAGCTGCAGCGTTAAACCCACACATGGCAGCGGGGCTGCAGCCGCCGGCGGGAGAGAGAAGCCGGAGCAATTGCTACTGCCTGCTTTTTTTTTTTCTGTTTCTTTTTTTTCTTTTTTTCTTGTCTCTTTGCCCTGAACAGATCATGCAATACTCAACTGAAGGAAGCTTGCCAGGGGAAAGCAAAAACAAATGGTGTTCATTGTTTTGACTTGCTCTTCTCATTGGAAAAGGGCCATGGGCCCATCCTTCCGGATTTATTTTTCTTTCATTTGTTTTTGCCTCTATAAACAGAAGCTCTTATTTGCTCAGTATAAACAGCTCTGCTTTGAGAAGTTTATGGTCCTCGCTCCTCCTACCAGCAGTACTGAAGAAACGCAGCAGACCACACCAAAAATAGCTCAGAACAGGGATTTTTAGGAGCGCAGCAATTGGCACACTGGCAGCATCGATGCTGATCAGGTTGGGTAAAAAAACACAAATCCCAAATAAATCGAATCTGTGTCCTGTCTTCCCACTGATTCAACTAAATCTGCCCTAGTAGGGGAGGAGGGTGCACACCTCCTGAAAACAAGTGCAAGGGCAGGCTCTGGTTAAACACTGGTGCTGCCTCCGTTTAACACCCATGTGTGGGCTGGGGGCTGTGCTGCCTCCTCCCCGCAGCCCCATGAGCGATAGGAGAGGCTGAGCACTGCAGAGGGGCAGATCTTAGATTGGATATTAGGAAAAATTTCTTTACTGAAAGAGCGGTCAGGCATTGGAACAAGCTGCCCAGGGAAGTGGTGGAGTCATTTTTTTTTGGTTCAAAAGACGTGTAGATGTGGCACTTTGGGACATGGTTTAGCAGGCATGGTGGTGTTGGGTGGGTGGTTGGATTTAATGATCTTAGAGGTCTTTTCTAACCTTAATGATTCTATGAGTCTGTGACTCTATCATCGTCAGAGCTCCTTATTTCTTACACCTTGAAGCCCAGACTAAAGTTTGCAGGCTGAGATGCTGCATATTGAATATCTGGGACTGATGCTGCTGCCTGGGAAGGAGCATCCATGGGGCAGATTTGCTTTTCATGACTGTCCCACTGCCTGGTGCCATGCTGGCAAGATAGATTTCATCACTATCACAAAAGAAAAATAGAAAACAGCCAAAATCATCACAAGCAGACAGAGCAAGTTTTAGCTTGGTTCCTGTGACCGCCTCACACAAGCCGTACTGCCCCAGGCATGGAAAGCGGGAGCAGGAAGGGAAGTGGAGGGAAAGGAAAGGCAGGAACATTTCAAACCAGCTTTGCAGACAAAGCAGCAAACACTGTGAATACAGCTCTGCTGGCCTTAATTTGCAAGGGACCGAGCAGTCTGAAAACAGAACCACTCCCTTGGCTTTCTCCCTTCGCCCTCTGAAAGGAAAGGCACCGGCAGTGCCCCGCTGCCACCCTTTCCCTTGCAGATTACCTTCACACCGTGGCATTTCCCAGCACGCTGGGTTAGTGCCGAGAGACCGGACAATCAAGGCAGCCGTAGGGATCCGAGGTTTGACTCATTGCTAGGGGGTGGTTGGGGTAGGGACAGTGTGGAGAAGAAGAGCAAGGGCCTGGGGATAGGACTGCAAGTGCCCTCCTGCTGCTGCGAGGGGAGACTCAGCTGTGAAGCAAACTGGTCTGCAGAGGAGCCAGGGAGTAACCTGGGGCGCGAGTAGGAGAGGGCAGGGTGCCGCAGGGCAGGCACCCAAGGTGGTGTACAAAAAGAAGGAAATAGGGTTGGTTGCTGTCAGCAAAGAGCACCCTGCTGCCGATGGCGCTGGGCCAGGCAGCGCACAGCAGCTCCCCCAAATTTAGCTTCTCCACAAGGTTGTATCTAAAAAAGAAAACCAGAAGGAAGTGATGCAAAGAGCAAGAAGGCTTTGCTTTACTGTGTAAGCAGATCTGCCTTTACCCTTGCAAGGTTAGTGCCAAGCACAGTCATGGGAATGGTGTATTTCAGTCAGCAGCAGTTTATTTGTGTCTGTAAATACAGGCAGCCTGACCACAGCTAGCATTCCTGAATGAAAACTCCAGCAGAAGGCATCAACAGGTCACATGTGATGGAAAAATGTCAGCGCGTGTCTGGCCAAGCTGGAATCCGGATGCCGTTGCAACATCAGCTCCTCCTGCTTCCCCAGCCACAGCTGGAGGCTGCTGCTGCGTGGCCACTGGCGCTGGGGCTCACCAGCGCGTTCTCTCTGTGCTGCTGGGGTTCCTGGGGGAGAGAGCATCACGTCATGCCTTGGGAAAAGTCAAGGCCAGTGGCAGCACTATTTGCTTCGTTAATTGTGGAGATGCCCCGTAACCCTTTGCTGTAACACAGGCCAGAGTGAGGCGTGCCTGCTTTGCATCCTCCTCGCCCTGGTCAGCAGAGCAAGAAGGTGCTCAACAGCTGAAGGCTGGGCCCAAGCTCTGGAAGATGAATGCCTCATACTCTTCAACCTGTTTAACCTTGCATTTCTACAGCCACGTGCAAAGCGAAGGATCTAGTGTATTGAGGAGAGAGTCACTAAGATTCCCCCAAAGAAATACCGAGGCAAGATAACTGACTACACCTGCAGCCCAGCAGCATCTCCTGACCATTATACTCCAGCATCACCTCTGTATCTGAACACACTTTAAACCGGAACTGACTGTTGTTCCTCTACCTCCTCTTCACTGCCAGCCTGCAAAAAGCCAAAACAATAGAATACAATAGAGACACAGGGTTTGAATTCATCCCATTCCTTTCTCCATGCCCACTAGTTAGTGCTGGTATCCACTGGATGCAGCCCAGCAGAAACTCCTCCATTTGACTGTCACAACCCAGAAGGGTTATCCAGCATGCAGATGGGCAAAGGTTGCAACCGTGGGTTGGCAGGACTCCGTCAAGCACAAGGACAGGGAGGATTAATTTGCTAAATTACTTTATTGTATTTTACTAGAGGTCGTCACTACCAAGTCAAGTACAATTATGCTGAGTATATCTATACTACGAATTACCATCAGAAAGCAAACATGTATTTCAACAGCAGCACAATCAATATTAACAGCAAGTCTATATTTCAATATTACAAGTTATTACAGAATTACCATTAGTAAAGCAGCAAATATACTTATCAGTAAGTACTTGTATGTGTGCCTATCTATCTATCTATCAATCTATCTATCTATCTATCTATCTATGTGTATATATAATGTTACCGGTACCAAGTGCTCATCAAACCCATCCCAGCAGTGAGGCCAACTGGACGAAATCTCACTTGGATGATGATCTGCAACACGGAGCCCGGAGTCAACCAGGCATCCCCGGTGAGGGTCCGCTCTGACGAGGAGATGTCCCGGGGAAAAGGGTTTTGTGCGTGGGCACTTCTCAGAGAAAGATGTTTTCATTTTGGGTAAAAAGTCAGTCCTTTTTATAGCACAAAGACATCAGGGTTGAAGGACACCACCACACATAACAGCCAACAGATGCTGTGAATTTCTGGTTTTCACACGGAACAGCCAATAACTGGTGACATTCTCTATCCTCCCAGACCCATTTTTGTATTTCCGGACTGTTTTTCTGTTCTGTCAGTTAGAACAGCCAATGGCAGTTACGAACGCTTACTTTCTCAGGATGTTTTCCTCCTTTTCCAGACTTTTTGTTCACCTTTCTGGATGATAAGTTGCTGTTACAGTTCCTTATTTTTGCACATTTCATCGAAGGTATCTCGGGAGGTCTCTGGTATCTTGGCACCCAGCTGCCTTTCAAAGATGCCAGCCGTGCTCCTCAAGGATGCTTCTGGTTTCCCAGGTTGGCAGGCATTTTCTCTGCCAGTATCTGAGGAGACATCTTCTTCCATGCAATATTTTCCCCCTTATAACCAGGTCGCCTTTTGGGCTGCTTCCATCACTCCACCCCTTGGCCCACAACCACGGATGGGTCACTAGGAGTGAGACTACACCCTGGCTGGTGCGTCTCTCTTGCCTCCTAATGTGTGAGGTGGAGGAGACTTGTGGCCATCTCGGGCCCAATGTTCTTCAAACTTCTGAGAGGGTTTGTTGGTTGAGGCACGAATATACAGTACCAGTTTGGATAAAGGTGATACAGACAGTGCTTTGATACGAGATACACTACAGAAAAGCATGAATACTCCAGCTAGGATGAGAGGTAATGCCACCGAGCTGCACCGTGCCCATGCTCCGGGGTCTGGCAACCAAGGTGATGGCCATGGCTGGCCACAGACAGGGGCTGCTCTTGGACTATTTGGTGGATATGTTGCTGAATAACATTCACTTCATACTCGATTTGTTTGGCGTTGCTGGTGTAGAAGCAATGGGTGCTATGCATTAACACACAGACACCCCGTTGGGGGCCTAAAAGACAATCCAAGGCCCAGCGAACG